GAGTAGTGGAATTAAAGAATGGAAATGACGACAGGTCTATTTTTTAATTACTTTTTTGTGATGATGGGTTTAAAGGGGAGGACTCTGGTATAATGAGGTATGCCACCTGCAGCAACGACTGCCCAGAGCATAGCTTCAGGAAGATCGGTCTTACTGACGTGTGGAATGGAGGGGACGAGGGAAGGAGGGATGGTTGTGAAGAGAACCCAAGCAGTAGGTTAATACAAGAGACTAGGCAATGAAGAGGCAAAGAAGGAAAAGAACCTTTATTTGAAAACTGTTAGAGAGTAAACTGAAAAAAAAAAAAAAGAAAGAAAGAAATCAATCATGACATTAGATTGCTAAATTAAAACAGTATGCTAGGCTGAATAATGCCATTCCCTCCTCCCCACTCCCTGCCAATATGTCCACATCCTAACCTCTGGAACTCGTGAATGTTCCTTTACATGGCAAAAAACTTTGTAGGCATGATTAAGTTAAGGATTTTGAGAGGAGGGAATTACCCCGGATTATTCCAGTGGGCCCGATATAATCACAACGGTCTTTAGAAGAGGATGCAAGAGAAGTCAGTGCAGAAGAGAAGGCGATGTGATGATGGGAGCAGAGACTGGGGCAGTGCACTCTGAACACAGAGGAAGAGGCCACAAGCCAAGGAAACAGGCAGCCGTTAGAAGCTGATTCTCCTCTAGAGCCTATGGAAGAAACAGCCTTGTTGACATCTTGACTTTATCCCAGTGAAACTGATGTCAGACTCTTGCCCCCTCCACAGAGAATAAATCTGTGTTGAGAATAAATCTGTGTTGTTTTAAGCCACTGCTTTGTGGCAATTTGTTACAGCAACAATAGACGACTAATACAGATGGCCAGAGGGGTGGGGCTGCCACCAACAGAATTAGGAAATCTAGGAGAAGCAGTTAATTTAGGGAAAAAATATTTCATGTTCAGACTCACTAATTTTGACAGGTCAGCATGAAAATCAAATGGAGTATCCACTAGGCAGTTGGAAATGAGAAAATGATGCTCAGACAGAAGGTCAGAGCTGGTGAAGAGAGACTTTGAAACAATGTACACTGAAGCAGTAACTGAAAATATGGTGATGAAAATGATAAAGAGAAATATATAAAGAAAGAACAGAAAAGAACCAAGGAACAAAACACAAGGAACAATCTGTACACGTGGGTACATTTACATAGGTTTTTGTACACATATGTTTATGCACCTAGTAAGAAGGTCTGGAAAGATTCTAGCCAAACTGTAACAGTAGTTAACTCTGAGGAGTGGGAAAGGGGACAGTAAGTGTAAGAGAAGGGAGTGGATCTCTTTTTTCTACTTTATATACTTATGAAATATAATAATTTTTTTACGAAAGTTGGTATCACTTTTGTAACTTAAAAATTGTCCATTTTAAAAAAAAAACACCAGTGAAAAAGGTACAAAAAGAGCAAGCAGCCAAGAAGAAAATTAGGACAGCATGCTCCACAGAAACTAGAAAAGGAGAGCCTTTCGAGAACAGCAAAGCATGCCAGCCGGCATGCTGATCACAGAAGTCAGCACCAGAAGGTTGCTGTCGACCTGTTTCAGGGGACAAAAGAAGCAAGTCAAATTGCAATGGGTTAAAACGAACAGGAGGAGTTCTGGTCCCGGTAACAGGAGCAGCTCATTTCAGTTCAACCCTCCTATAAACAGCAGCTGTGAAGTCTGGTGAGTGGAGAGGGGCACAGGCATGGGGGAAGCAGGGGAGGAGCTGTCTAAAGGCAAGGTAGCACAACCAGAAGCAGGGAGGCTGCAGTAGTAGGGAGGCTGGAGCTGACCATTTGAAGAAGGGAACGGCGTTGGGTAAGTTTCCCATTTTTAAAATGCCAAAGAGCATCTTTTCTTCCCCAAAAGGCAAACCCCAATTAGTATCATATGGTAAGGCTAACACTCAGGGAGAAACACACAGTCTCACTGGTTTGAAGAACCAGGGGAAAAGTCTGGGATCGGGCCACAGTAGTGAGCCTTGAATTCTGAGCATAAATTCAACCTGAATCTCTGTCTCACTCCTGAAACACGCATGTGCAAGGCACCAACTAAGCAGTTCAGTTAAAGCTAAAAGACCTGAACAGAGATTTCAGCTGCCACCCACCATGGGGAAGACTGACTTTGGAACCTGAATTCAGGCAAGTTAACTGGTAAAACAACAATTATCAACAACAACAAAATCAATGCTATTAACAGAAATATATCAGAATCCAGAACCTCTATAAAGTATCATTCACAGTATTGGATATAATCCCACATTACTGGTTGTAGGATATACACAGAAACAATAAAATGTCACTAAGAGTACAAAGGGCAATCAATGCACAACTCTGACTATACTAAACACCACTGAGTTATCTACTTCAAATGAGTAATCTCACGGTGAGTGAGTTGCGTCTCAACCATGCTGTTACAAAACAACAATATCACCAACAACGGTCAGTCTGCACGGTGTGACGCTAACAGGACCAGCACGGAATCAGCAGACAAAGTTATAAGAGCTTTTGTAATTAGTAGGCTCAGCTATGTAAAGAAAAAAATACATACATAATGAAGAAATGCATACATCTTAGCACTAAAACTGAGATTTTCACTTAGAGAACCAATTGTAAATTCTAGAACTAAAAAATACAATATATATCCTACAAATACATTCTCTGATACAATGAAATTAAATTAGAATTTGATAACAATAAATCCCCAATATTTTAAAAGTAAATAACAATTCTAAATAACACAGGGGTTAAAGGGAAATCACACGTGATTTTAGAAAATATTTTGAACTCACTGAAGGTAAAAACATAATGCATCAAAAATTATTGGATGTACCTATGGCAGTGTTTAGAGGAAATTTTATATTTTTAACTACTTGTACGAGAAAGAAGAAAGGTCTAGAATCAATGATCTAAGGTTCATCCCTGAGAAACTAGAAAGAGTAAAGAGCAAGAAGTAAGTAGCAAGAAGAAAATGATAAAAATGAGACTAGGAATAAATGAAATAGAAAACAGATAATTAATTTAAAAACTAACAAAAAGCCAGTTTTTTAAAAAGATCAAGAAAATTGATAAATAGCTAGCTAGAATGGTCCAGAAAATGGTACTGGGCAAATGGTAAATGTGCAAAAACACAAACTGCCCATAACAGAAATGCAAGTGAGCGTATTATTATATATATCCTACAGGCATTACAAGGAAACTAAGGAAATATTGTAAACAACTTTATGCCAATAAACTCAATAAATTAGATGAAATGAACAAAGTCTTTGGAAAACACAACTAACCCAAATGCTACGAGGTGATAAATAAAACCTGAATAGCCCAGTATGCGCAGGCATCTAAACCCCTGTTTCCAAGCCCTCCAATCTGCCCGTGTGCCATGGCTTGCCCTGTCTTCCTTAAATACCTAATCTAGCGTCCTTGGCCTACATTCAAAACCTTCAGGAGTTTCCGTTCGTTAGCAAAACCTTTGCCTAGTTTTCATACTGATCTTCTACCACCCTCTAGCACATTCCTGAAGTCTAATCATGCCACCATCCCTCAGACATGTCAACAACCTATTGCACCTCACATCTTCTTCCATATACCCCTCGCCATCAATGCCATCCCATTCCTGGCCAAAATCTCACCTATTCTTGAAGATCCACCTGCGTCTAATCTCCAAGAAGCTTCACGGGGTATTCCCAGCCGTCAGGGTCTCCCTTCTAGGAATTTCATGGAAACACAGTGTCCTTAACACCGTCTTGCAGGGAGGCTGCTGATGTCCTATGTATTAATCTACTATCCCACTAAAGTGTAAGCTCTTTGAGGGCAAGGCTTTTTTTTTTTAAACTTCTCTGTCTCTTAAGGGAACTATTCCAGGATTCAGCACATCATTCAATAAACAATTGATTCAATAAACACTTGGTCCACTGGATGAATACACAATGCCAAGGCTTTATTTCTATGTTTCTTACAGACTCTCCAGACTCTCATTCTGATCTCAGTACCATTGTTAGAGTCATCTCCAGGGATCTTCCAGACTTTCTCTAACAACCACATTCACAAAACATATGGTTGCAATAAGCAGAGGTGGGGAGAGGGAGGAGTAGTGGTAAAATTATATAAAGATGAGGTGCCTGGGCTAATTTTTACATTCTGCTGCTACTAGTATCTGATAAGCACACGCTAATACCAATCAGATCACTTTTTCCTTGTCCTCCTCCCGCCCTAAGTCCCTGTGGATACAGAACCAATCGTGGGGCTCTAGGCACAGGGATGAGTTCAGCTTATACTTCCAAACACATCTGTTCCTTCCGCTCATTATGAACCCACACCTGGGTACAGAGACAAGATAACAACATCTTTGAAAAAGTAGCCAGTTACTGATACTTATTGTCTCTTACTATACAAATTCACCCAAATGTATAAGTCTTAACTGTAACCAAGTACTATCAAAACAGTGACTGCAAATCTATCTTATTTCAAAAGATCTTTCAAAAAATAATTATGCATTTATACTAAACTATCAATATCATCTGTGAACACACATACTATTGAGGAAAAGCACATTTCCTGTGGGTTTAAAGTCACCAAGTAAAGCAGCCCCTTTGAACGCAACTCGTCTCAAATTCTCTTTCATTGATGAGTTCCTAACAGCTTCTCTTTCATTTAAGCCAAACATAGCTGTATATCCTCATTTCATTCCCCTTCTCTCTAATTAGATAAATCTGGTCACTCTTCTCACAGATTAAAAGGTCAGGGTGTTTTGTTTTTCCAGCATTTCAGAGTTCTAATCCTAGAGTACTATGATGACAGGCAGGATCATGTGATTTAGAGCAGACAGGCTCCAAGGAAATCTATCTGAAGGAATCATACAACACACACAATGAGGAGATTCTTTGGAATATAAATGCACAGATTTCTGGAAAAGATAGTGGGCTGCTCCAGCTATCTCCAGCCTACGGAACTGACCCTGGATCTTGCCAGCAGTTGTGTCCTTACCCAGGTTGGAAGACGCTCGTCCTTCTGCAGCCCGGTCCTTGAGGTCCTCGGCAATGCCCAGCTGCTGCTCGTGGTACTGCTTAGCCCTCTCCAAATCCTGCATGCACCTGGCAGCATGGCCCAGGCCAGCGTAGGCCCGCATCTCAATGGCCTTCTCCATCAGCTCCTGTGCCAGCTCCAGCACGTAGTTGTGGTAGGACATGGCCTTGTCGAAGTTCCTCCTGTAGTGATAGGCACTCCCCAGGTTGCTGTAGGCCCGGGCCTCTTCTCGCTTGTTGCCCAGATCCTTGGCTATCTTCAGATGCTGCTCGTGACACTGCACAGCATTCTCAAAGTCGCCCATAGCAATATACACAGCTCCCATGTTGCCAAGTTCTCGGGCTTCAGAAAGCTCATCTTTGGACTGCTTGGCGAGAAGAACACACTGTTTGTGACTGGCCAGGGCATTGGGGTAGTCTCCGATGGCCGTGTACACGTGGCCCAGGCTGCTCAGGGCTGAAGAAGCTGCCTGGAGAGAAAGGATAAGGCAGGGAAATGAAAGCACATCAGAAAATGGCTTTGGTTTGTTTCAGCAGATAAAATGTTTCAGGGATTGCCTGTGGCCATCCAACCCAATTCCTAATTTCTATCAGTTGTTGACAGACCTATGCAGAACTGAAAAAGAGCCCATCCACACAGCAAGCCCCTAATAAAAAGACAATGATATTGTAATCAGTAACTTTCAATACCTAATCTCACAGAAACATGTTCTATTCCACATAACCTTCATCTTAAACACTTATTGACATTTCTAATATTACAATATTATAGCTATGTTAATAGCTATTAACCTCTGTCGTTTAAAAAATGTTGAAGAAAACCAAAAGTAATTATAGTACAGCACAGGACCTTCCTGGGAGAGACCCACGCTCGGCCCTTTGTTCTCCAGAGCACTTATCTAGCCTTGCCTCTCCCCAAGCGGATGGACACGTTAAAGGTAAGGGACACGCTCAGAATGATGATTTGTAACTGTGTGACTCAGGACCCACTGAGGGGTCTGGTTCTCTTATCTTTGTTCCTCTAATGTCACTTCATCAGTGCTGGTTCCTGTGGAGGGCTTAGGTCCAGATGAGCCCCAGAGGAAAACAACAGGCGGTTCCAAGCTACACCTCTGAATGGGGTGGACCTCACTGGGCCTCACCACCCCTTTCCGGGCCCACACTGGACCTTCCGGCTTTGCTTTTCTTGCCAGAGGCTCTTCTGACCCAACAACGCTCTGCGCAGAAAAATGCTGTCTTAGCGGTCCCCTCACAGTGCCTGCCACGCACACCTCTCTTGTCTGAAGAAAGTACACGGACCCTTTCTGTGTTAGAAGTTTTCGTGAAAATGACTCTAAATCAGTGCCGTGAGCCAAATGGAAACAACAAAAATGATGAAGATGCCGTGCGGGTTCTAGCGTCTTAGCAAGGGCAGACAGCCCCAGACAGGCTCGTCCGCTGTCCCTAGCTCCTCTGCACGGCCACAAAGGGGCAGCTCGTGAGTCTGCCCTGCCGGTCTCTAAGTGAGAGGCTTCCTTCACAACGTGCCCACAGCTACAGCCGCGTAACCCCTTTCTTCACCTCACTCCCTCTCTTCCCTAGCATGCACACGTGGTCCTGGCGGAACACAGGATGCCCTGTCACAATCAGAGAAGTGGCCTTCACGAGGGCCTCCAGGCCAGGGAACAAACACGCAGGGGTGCTGTCCCACCACAGCATGGGTGGTTCTTGATGAGATGCATTCTATGTCTGGACACCTGAGAACATCTTTATCAATATTTTATAGATGAGTGATCCGCTACCCTATTTCTTTGCCTGTGAAACAGCTCTTGATCAAAATAACTGAGGCCATGACCATCTTTATGGTGCTTGCAAATTGTGTGTTTGCAAAGGGTTTCATATCATTTTGAGTTGCTTTTATCATTCCACAGATGTTCCAACAAAAGATTTAGGAAAAGAGAGAGGAAATACATACTTATAAATGTACTATTTTATTTCTCTTCCTGAGCGGGGGAGAGCAGAAACAATTCCACGACTGTGGCAGTGCCACAGCAGGGGGACTCTGGCAGAGGCGGTAGCGGCGCTCACCGAAGAGCATGCCGCTCAGACGTGGCCTGGCCCCCGGTTCCGCTTCGGGACCAGAGTTAGGGCTTCATGTCGGCACATTGTCCTTGGCCCGCCGCTGCTCACAGCTCCTCTCCCTGCCCAACGCCCCCCTCTTCCTCCTCTGCAGCGAGCCCAGGGACTCAGCCTCTTCCCTGTACTCCTCTGTCGGTCCTCCGCACCTCACTCTCTCGGTTGCTCTCCATGCGAGCCTGGCTAGCGAGTGGGACACAGTCTATGAACCCTCCCACAAACAAGTCTTTGCTGACCTCAAAGGAAAACACGTGGCTCTGTGACGACAGAGCTAGTGTAACTCAGAATCAGACACATTCAGTTCAAAACTGCACTGCCCTTAATTAGCTCTGCGGATCTTTGAAAGACTGAGGCTCAGAGAAGTTGAGTTTCTGGACAGACATTTCTAGGCCCAAGCCAGAAGCCTGAGTGTTTTCAAACTCGGCCATGAGCCTCTGACAAATGTGCGAACCATAAATAATTCGTATGATAATTCCAAATAATAGACCTGGTTGGAGGCAATGAGCCCTTGAACACCACAGGGGATGGATTTACAAGGCCTCGGGCAGGCACAACACCCCAGGAGGCACTGTCCCGAGGAACTTTTGGTTTATGGCAATGCCAAATGACAGCTCTGGATCTTCTGCTTCTGGGTCTTCATTTGTCTGAATTCCAGGGAGACACAGGAGCTCATTTGCTGCAGCTCTCTAAAGATAAGGAAAGGGAGTATTTGGAGCACTTCCCCGCCGGGACGTGGGGGAGAGCGGGAAGGATTAGCTCTCCCCTGGCACCCTCCCGTTACCAGGCAGTGCCGCCAGCCGGGATGCCTCATGGCAGTGTCCTGGAAACCAACGTCTCTCAAAAGGATGATATAATTTATGAACACTCATCACAGTCTCTGAAACTCAGGAGGCAGCTTGATGTATAAGAATGGAACACACAGACACAGCAAGCATGTGGTGATTGACAGAGGAAAAGGGGATGGGGGGTAGAAGAGGGTAAAGGGGGAGTAAATGACGATGGAAGGAGATTTACCTGGGGTGGGGAACACACAATACAACACACAATTGATATATTATAGAACTGCACACCTGAAACCTATATAATTTTATTAACTAATGTCACCCCAATAAATTCAGTAATAATGATAATGATAGTGATAATAATAATAATAATAATAATAATAATAATAATAATAATAATAATATAAGAATGGAACAGGATTTAGAGCCAGAGACCCTGGTTGTGTGACCCTGTTAAGTGGTTCCGCATCTTCATTTCTTACTTTCTACGTAAATCGTGCTGATAATGACAGAGCACACAGTTCCACAGGCTCAGGTGGGATTGGATAAAGCAGTGCGTGCGAGTGTCCTGAGAAAACCGCTGAGTTCTCTGTGAATGCACCGCTAAGGTGGGGATGGATGTTTTATGACTGCCAGCTGGCTGGACTGAGCTCTCTTACCATCCAGAAGCTAGTAACGGCAACTGAAAACATGTCATTATGACCAAACATCTATATTCCTATCAGTTGCCACAGGAAATAAAGTCCAGTGTTTTACAGCCCCTGGGCAAATAACCTGCGATGATATTTATCAGCTAAGTGAATTACAAATTAATCACTTGTCTTTGTTCCTGTTCCTGCAGAATAGGCTTAGATCTGAAACATGGTTTCAGGCTGTTAAGGAGAATCTGAAGACCCACATCTATGGGGAATCACAGGCCCCACCTCAAGCAGATGCTGCATTTGCCACTAAGGTTCACGCTGCTTTTGTATATCAATCTCTTTGAGATTTTTGTGCTACAAGAGCAGCAGCTGCTTCCGCAGTGGAAACATTTCGGAACATCTGTATTTGAATACTAAAATGCACACAAACACTTATGCTAACAAACTATCTGGTTGGAATAAGATAATATTTTTCTCTTTACAAGATATAAATTACTCATATTCTTGCCAAAGCATGATTTCCAGCTGCAGACTGAGCACACGGAAGTCATCACCCCTTGCTCTGTGACCCAAAGACGTGCAGAAGAGCCCCATGTGACAAGTCAGTTTCATGGGACGTGGAGCTAAAGAAAAAAATTAGCTCATCTTTTTTCAAACCACCTGTAAGGGTTTTTAGTTTGAGACATAAAATAGCAGAGTTTAAACTACCCAAACTACAACCACACTGATGACACTACCACTAAACATTATTTTAAAGACTGAAACACGTTTCCTTTACATCTAGCATTGTTTCCCCCTTATTGTACTTCAAAAGGGTTACATTTTGTGGAAGGAGTAAATGGACATGTAGGAATATTTGATATAACTGCTGATTGACTAGATGCATGTAGTCTTAAAAAGAGGGAACTAAACCTGCAGAAACACAATTTTTTCTTCTTTACTGCCCAAATCCACATGTGCATTGTCTTCCCTGGCAGTCCAGTGCCCACAAATTCAAGGTCCTGGATTAATCACCTATAGCCCAAGAGGCAGAAGGATATAGAATAATAGGGACAGACTCTAGAATCAGACACGCAGGGATTCAAATGGCAAACTATGTGATACTGCATGGCTTTTGTAGCATCTCTGAGCCTTAGTTTCCTCATCTGTAAAATGGGAATATTAACACCTCACAGAGCCTTGAAGAGAACTAAACAAAGCAATACTTGTAAAGAAGCTGGTTTATTACTTGTCACACAGAAGATGCTAAAATTTTAGATTCTAGTTTCTCTTCCTGCCCCAACTGAGATGACAGCCACTTAGCTTTACTCATTTCAAAGATGTGGTAGAAGATGGCCAGAAAACAGAACACGAAGTTATGTCACCACAGCAAAAAAGACAACACAGGTTTGACCCACTAGTGGTGGGAAGAGTCATCATCTTCATATGCTTCAGCATATTCCTCATATTACCTTTCTGCAAATACAGGGGTAAGAAAATTCACCCTTTACCCCAGGACATTCTAGAATCATTGGTGTGTTCAACAGGGGATGTTGGTAAAAGCACTTCACTTCAAGGGGATAAAGCTGACAGACATCGGAGTGTTATGGCCCTGTTGGTTGGTTGGTTGATTTGTTCATTCATTCATATACTCAAGAAAATTCTTGAGACTCACACAAACATAGTCTACTAATTCTGACAAAGGATCAAAGGTAATTCAATGGAGAAAGAATAGTCTTTTCAACAAATGGTGCTGGAACAACTACATGCAAAAACCAAAAAGTCAATCTAGACACAACCTTACACCTTTCATACATATTTACTTGAACTAAATCACAGGCCTAAATGTAAAATGCATACTATAAAACTCCTAAGAGATAATATGAAAGAAAATACAGGGAACCTGGGGTTTGATGAGCTTTTAGATACAGCACCAACTTGGACTTCATTACA